TTCATAAAATAAATATTCAACCATTTCAGAAAATACTTTTTTTAAATCATGACACTATCAGCACTTTTAATTTTGCTGATTGCGACAGTAAATGTTTTAAATATGGTTCCAGTTTCTTCAGTCTATATCTGGGGACTTTGTTTAAAAGATACTTCTTACATCAAAATCCTTAAAACCTATCATTTACTCTGGAAGTGCTTTTTACATTACCTACATTATTATTACAACTTTTATTATAATATTTAGAGGAAAGCACTAAACCCTGAAAAGTGGCAGAAGCACTGAATTGCATCTGTTAAGCTTCTGGCCACAACATCAACTTATTCACATCCTGAAGCATGCTAGTGTCCTCATTAGAAATTATCTGATGGCCCATTTTAGTATCATCGGGAAACTTATGTCACTATTTCTTCCCTCAGTTTTGTTATGTAGACTTTAAACAACAAGGGTCACATTACTGACCCTTGTGACACACCACTTTTAACAGGTTCCCATTCTGATTGCTCTCCATTTACGAAATCTGTGTTGCCTATCTGTCAGCCATGTCTTGACCCGGAAACAATTTCTTCTGTACCATGTGCTACTCCTTTCATCAGTCTCTTGTGTGGAACACTATCAAAGGCTTTGCTGAAATCCATATACTCACAATATCATTCTTTATCCTGGATTACCACCACAAATACCTTAATGTAAAAGATTAGCAAATTCATGAAGCAAGAATGCCTCTTTGTAAAAACCATGCTGTTATTCATTGATCTCAATGCACCCACAATAAATGATTCCATTACTTTCCCGTAATTGAGGTTAGGTAGATTAGTCCATAATTTGAAGCTAAGGACCTACCGTATCTCCCACTCTGTAAATGGGTATCACATGCCATTTTCCACTAATCCAATATATCCATTTGTACTGCTCTGCTGAAGAGACTAGCTACTGGTTTGTTAAGATCCTCCTTACATTCCTTTAGAAATCTTGAAAATAGCTTGTTAGGGATTTCATTTGTATTCTCTTGATTAAAAAACAAGAGAAGAAAAGCATTAAAAACAGTACACATTTCTTTAGTAATCAACTAATTACTGCTATTATGGACTAAAGTGGTGGCATGCCAAAGCAACAACAGCATCTGCTTGATATATTTTTGAATGCTTGATACTGTACTGAGTATGGCATACAGCAACTTTAAGTTAAACTCAGGCATGGTGAAGTGGTTAAACTACCAATAGCATAAATAAAAAAAAAATAATGATTTCCCCAGCCTGACAAGTCTAACTGCTTCCTAAATGGTATTACAGCAAAGCTAGATGCACCCATTTTGTTTTGCCTGTTTTGTAACTCCTGACTCATACTTCTGGGTCTAAAGGTCAAGAAGCGCTTGAACTCTATGTGATTATTGCAGTATGTCTAATGCACGTTCTAAAAGCATAAGTAGGTAAGTTATCAAGCTAGCTAGTGTGCAGTACAAGCTAATTTATACCTTCTGTGGCAGAAACAAAATTTCTACATCAAAAGTAAGGTCAATAATTCCAAAACATACAACAAATGAATACATATTACAGAAAGAATAAATATTCACAGTAAGGTAGCTGGAATAGTACACAAGTGACCTGCACTTAACCCTTTCATTGTCTGTGCAGTACTACTACAGGTATGAGGTCACTGTCAGTGCCATAGTACTACGCTGTGAGTTCAGCTCACTGAGATAAGCTGTGAGCAGCAAATTTGGGTCTATATATGAGAGAATGTGTCTATGTGATAAGCGTGCACCATATAAAAAAATCCTACAGCACACAATGCATAATGAGAAAAAAAACTGTGACAGTGTTTTTGGTTTAAAACAGCAGGTTTGAGTGTACAGTGGTCCCTCGATAATCGTAGGGCTCGATAGTCGTAATTTTCAGAAATAGTAACGATATTTTCGTAAAAACATTGGCTCGCTAATCGTAGATTGACTCGCGAATAGTCATTCATCCGGGACACGTACTCACACTCTGAGCCGCCCCGGCCTCCCTTCCCAGCCAGTGTGGCATTGTTTACCAGTGAGCGACGGTCCCCTCACTTGCTCATACGAAATATTTCATAATATTCCATTCATTTTAGTGTTTGCAACTACTAAATAAGCTACCATGGCTCCAAAGAAAGCTCCTAGTGCCAAGCCTTTGGTAAAGAAGGTGAGAAATACGACTGAATTTAAGAAAAACATCATTGAACAATATGAAAGTGGCATACGTATGGCCAAACTGGCCAGGACGTATAACAAACCCCATACAACCATAGCTTCCATCGTGGCCAAGAAAAAGGAAATCAAGGACGCTGTTGTTGCAAAGGGGGTAAATATGCTGACAAAAATGAGATCACCAGTACTCAAAGAGGTTGAAAAATTATTATTGGTGTGGATAAACGAGAAACAATTAGCAGGAGATAGTCTTATGACGTCAATTATTTGTGAAAAGGCTAGGCAGTTGCACGATGATCTGGTAAAGAAATTGCCTGCAACTAGTGATGTGAATGAATTTAAGGCCAGCAAAGGTTGGTTTGAGAGATTTAAGAACCGTAGTGGGATACACAGTGTGGTAAGGCATGGCGAGGCTACCAGTTCGGACCAAAAAGCGGCTGAAAAATATGTGCATGAATTCAAGGAGTACATAGAGGCTGAAGGACTGAAACCTGAACAAGTGTTCAATTGTGACGAAACAGGCTTCTTTTGGAAGAAAATGCCAAAGAGGACCTACATTACTCAGGAGGAAAAGGGACTGCCAGGACACAAGCCTATGAAAGACAGGCTGACGCTCATGTTCTGTGCTAATGCTAGTGGGGATTTCAGAGTGAAGCTGTTACTAGTGTACCATTCTGAAAATCCCAGTGTGTTCAGGAAAAACAATGTTATGAAGAGTAAATTGTGTGTTTTGGAAATCTAATAGTAAGGCATGGGTCACGAGGGAAATTTTCGTCGAGTGGTTCAATGAAGTACATGTATTTGGCCCTAGTGTGAAGAATTATCTCCTGGAAAAGAAATTGGATCTCAAATGCCTCCTAGTAATGGACAATGCACCTGCTCATCTTCCAAACTTGGATGACCTAATTTTGGAGGAGTTTGGGTTCATCACAATAAAGTTCTTGCCCCTGAATACCACTCCTCTCCTCCAGCCCAAAGCAATGTTTCAAAGGTGCTTGAATGTGACCTCAAGACACTCACTTGACCCTAAGAGATTTTTGGAGAGAACACTTCAGCATCCTTCATTGCATAACCCTTATAGGTACAGCTTGGGAGGGAGTGACTACCAGGACTTTGAACTCTGCTTGGAGAAAATTGTGGCCAGATTGTGTCCACAAGAGGGATTTTGAAGGGTTTGGGGCTGACCCTGATGAGCTTGTGTCAGTTGTTAAATCTATTGTGGCACTGGGGAGTTCCATGGGGTTGGATGTGAGTTTGGAGGATGTGGAAGAGTTGGTGGAAGACCACAACGAAGGGCTCACCACTGAGGAGCTGCAAGAGCTTCAGCAGGAAGAGCAACAGATCGCAGCTCAGAATCTTGCTGCAGAGGAGGAACAGAGATGGAAGAAGGTGCCTTCTTCAGAAATTAAGGAGATTTTTGAAATGTGGGGTAAGATGGAAAGATTTATGGAGAAACATCACCCTGACAAGGCTGTTGCAAGCCATGTTGGCAACATGTACAGTGACAAAGTCTTGGCCCATTTTAGGGAGGTGTTAAAGAGACGCCAGAAACAGAGCTCTCTGGATAGTTATTTTGCTAGACAGGACTCCAATGATTCTCAAGGTGGTCCTAGTGGCATTAAGAAACAGAAGAGAAGTAATTCCAGAAAAGCAATTGGTACCTGAGGTGTTGATGGAAAGGAATTCCCCTTCTAAACTGTAAATAATCCAATCTCTCTCCTCCTCCAGTCTTCCATACACTAAGAAGAATCGCCAATAAAGGTAAGTGTTATGCTGTTAATGTTTCATTCATCATGTCCCATTGTATTGTTTATGTACTACATCTATATTTCATGTAAAAAAATTTTTGTTTTAGTACTTCTGGGTGTCAGGAATGGATTAATTGTATTTACATTATTTCTTATGGGGAAAATTGATTCGAAAATCGTAAATTTCAATAATAGTAACACTTCCAGGAACGGATTAATTATGATAAATGAGGGACCACTGTATTTCATATGGTTTTTATGGTTGTATTCTTGGTTTCTTGGTCTCATATGATAGAATGAAAGATATATTACAGAAACAGAGATGATTTTGATTGGTTTCAGGACTGAAAGTAGCTTGAAATTGAGCTCAAAGTAGCGGAAATGTTCGATTTTTGCCAATATTCAAGAGTAAACAAATCAAGTCACTCGTCCAATACACGTCCAACTGGTGTGGTCTAATACATGTTCATGAATGTGCTGATATTATTTATACAATTATTACAATACTGCATAATAATAAATCTTTTATTTTTTGTGTGAATAAAAATTGTTTGTATGAATAAAAAATCAAAATGGGCCAGGAATGCCTTCATTGTTTATTCTGGACCCCACTTTGAAACTGGAATATTTTGAAACTTGTGTGAAACTGGCCAAATTATAATTTTTTGTTCACTTTATTTGATAGTCAAAATAGATGACTGGGTGATTTCTTGTGCTCAATCGATAAAATGAAAGACGGATGCTGTAGACAAGTTTCAGATCAGGGGTCTAGACAATGAAAGGGTTAAGAGTGCGGAAACTTTTGACATTTTGGTCCAACTTGGACCATTAACAACTCGCACTTCTCATTGGTCCAAATCATACCAAAATATCAACAAAAGTTTCCCTTTCCTAAAAGCAGGTTAAATGTGTACACAAATGTGTACACAATACAGGAGATGAACAGTTAAATTAGCATAGCACAATTTGCAAAACAAAGGTAACAAACAAAAGCAACAAATATTTTAAAATGCAGCAGAACCTTCATCTAAATGCAAACTACATGAGGTGGAGCATTAGTAGAAACAAATACAACTCACCAAAAGAGGATGTTGCTCATATGAGGACAGTGTGTGAGTTAGGTTGTGCAGTAGACTGAGAATTTCTTCCAATTTTGCCTCATCAGTTTTAGGCTCTCCATCACCAAGCCCCTGGAGAGGTTATGCTAAGTTAGTGAGCAATAAGGCAGAAATGATCCAACTGTTGAGTCTGAAATAGCCTTCACAGTTTACTTATAATGTTACAACTGATACACACAAATTATTAGTGAAAAATGACAAAATGCTTATAGGCATTATCCAAATACTTCTTTCTTTCTTTCAACACACCGGCCGTATCCCACCAAGGCAGGGTGGCCCAAAAAGATAAACGAAAGTTTCTCTTAAATTTACTAATTTATACGGGAGAAGTTGTTACTAGCCCCTTGCTCCCTATCCAAATACTACGTACTATATTTTTATATTATTGGTAGGCTATATAATGATTAGTACACTACTGTATGTCAGTGGGATTTCTACTCTTGAAAACTTTTGCAACCATGGCTTATTTAGATTTATCAAACAACTTAACCAACAATTCCAAAACTTTATCTTTACCTGCTTGCTGCCTCATCCACCTCCTCCATATTTATTTGTTTCTTCTCTCCTGGTAAATCTCATTCCTCCTGCTTTAATGCATTAAATCTTTATATTCAACAACTTCTCAAAATTCTATCTTTTATCATACCTCTACACTCTTCATCCAGCATCTTACACCTTGCACTCTTAACTTGTAAGTTCCTATGCTCCCTAGCTTTTCACTTTATTTTTCTTTCTTAAAAACATCTTCTTCCAAATTTGCTGATAATGACTCGCCCCTAAATTCTGGTGGCAATCTTTGACACTGAATACAAAATTATGTTTAAAATTAACACAAGTAGAATTTTTTTTGCATAATTAATGTACACATTCTGGCAACATGTATGTCAAAATAAGCTTCAGATACATCATGTTACTATATACAATTATATTCTCCAAACTGTAACATCTACTCCCATCTACTATACACACTTTCCTACCACCAGAACACATGTGCTCTACTCAGCTTTGTTACTTGGAATAGTCACTGCATTTAGAATCTGAGTTACTGTACTGAATATCACCTAATGTAATAATCTTGTACCTGAGAACTTTTTTGACTGAAATTTAACAAAATTCATTTTTCTTGTCATGTATCATGCTATGCTTTTATCTGCTCACAATATACATTTACTGTTATATTCATTAGAATTAATTTCATTCTGTGTATATCTTGTATACAGAGTACACGTAAAATATTTATTGTCCTTTTAGTCATAAATTAGGTTTAAGCTTACCCAAAATGTTCTGCACAAACAGGGGCTTTCCATGTGCAATAATAAATATAAATTTTTGCTCAAAGGTGTATCATGTGGAAACAAAGAATCTGAATTTGAATTTTAACTGGTTTTCCTGAGTCTCATCATAAATGTTACCTAGCTCATACGTCAACAGTACATCAAATCCTCCAAAGCACTTGTCGCCATTCTGATCTAACATGCCACATAAAAAATATTAAATTTATTTATTCAAGGAAACTCCCACCTGCTGAACTGGGATAGTTATATGGCTAACAATAGTGTGCTCTCTGCTTTCATCTGCTTTAATATTAACCAGGTCCTGTAGTCGACGATGTTCTAGGATAAGATTGTCCATGGCTCTCAGATTGTGCTGAGTTTCCTGTGGAAAATCATGAAGCATGAGAAAATTAATTATACCTTATGCCTATATTATACATACATTATCAGAACCAGCAAAACTTATCTATTCCTTTTTAGATTTTTGAAGAAAGGGATTATCTTCCAAGAGTACCAAGAAACTTGTTTAAACCTTCATGTTTTGTAGGGGTGGACTACTGAGAAAATAGAGCAAGCAAGCAATTCTTCATAAATAAAAACTACTATCACAAGAATGTGGATACAGTATTAAAAACATATTTATAAAATCAATAATTCAATATAATTTTATAGCTGTACACAAAATTAGGTGCATAATTTTTCTATAATAAAAATTCTAGAATAAAAGCCCTCAAAACTTTAAATAATGCTGTAAACAATGCTGTATTATATATATACAGCACCTAACCATACCTTTAATATAGAAGAGAGGAACTTGAATTTTTTCCATATTACAGGATCAACAGAAATCTCAGATGAACTGTCATTTCCTCTATCAGAGTACATAGAGGTATTGAAACTAGTTTCATCAAAGCTTGTTTCAATTACAGTTTCTTCCCTATCTTCTTCACTGGTTTCATCGGTTTCTGATTTTTCTTGACTTCTGTGAACATCCTGATCCTCATTACTACATTCTGCTTTTGGACTCTGGTTTATTTTATTTTTACGTATTTTGCAATTCCAAAGTTTAGAATGTTCACTTCCGGTGTTTGATCTTTTGCTGCTAGATTTGATAGTAGCATGGGAGATCCCATAGTCATCTCCATATTCTATTATGTCCTTGTCTGATCCTTGACTCTTCAAAACAAAATGCGTTTTACCACTAGAGGACGATGATATTCTCTTGCTATTTAAGTTCTTGGAATTAACATTATATTCACTGTTATTCTGAGACAATGAAAGAGAGCTAAGAGTCTTTATAGGATGACTTTGGTAATCTTCGCTTAATTCTTCTTCTTTGATCTCCATTTCTCCCGTAATCTAGACGATTTCTTTGGTACTCCTTTTCCTTCTTGTAGGTCAATATTTTCCAGACATACGTGAAGTGTCTTGGATAACTTCATGCCCAAGGTCATTGAATAAGATGTGTATCAGTCTTTTGATTCCCTCATGCATCTGTAATTCAGATTTTTTAAAAAATAATAAATCACTACTATAATTTTATCAGATATTTTCAAGCATAAAAATAAACTGGAAATAATAATCTTGTACTGTGTTGGAAGGAAAATATGGAACTAGGATTTATCATCAGTAAGGAAGCTGTGAAGAAGACACATTGCAGAACTGGTTCTACAATATGCCTTTCTTAATTATAGTTGGCAGTATACCAATTGAATCCAGTAAGGAAGCTATCTGTATATATTCAAATCTTGTACAAAGAAGTTCCATTATATCAATACATTATACAGTACAAGCTATTCACATACAAAGACTGCATTTATTGACCTAAGAAAAGCTTTTGATACAGTAGACCACAACAACCTGCTGCTTAAACTAGAACATTATGGAATAATAGGACATGCTTTTCCATACTTAAAGTCTTACCTTAATGACAGACACAATATGTGACCGTTAATGACAATACCTCATCAACTGTATCTACCGGCATAAGGAGTGCTATGAGGCAGTGCTGAGGTCCTGTCTTATTTCTCATATACTGTACTTCAATGACCTAACTAATGCCTTCTGTCTGTTGGCAGATGGCAACTTTTGTCATTTGCCAACACATCTGTTTGTATTCAACAACACTGTTAGTGATGAATTAGCAAAGATATCTACTAAGATGGCAACCAACATATTGCTAAGACCTTCAATATAGTGCTTGGAAACAAAGCACTGGACATGAAGGTAAATGATGCACACACTGAGAAATGAAGGAAAATTCTTAGGTGCATTCCTTAATAGCAAACTAAAATTCAACACTAACATCTGGAACACATCTAAGAAAACTTTAAAAACAACGGGTGGGTATTCTTTAAAAAATAAGTTATGACTGTATGGACCTTAACCCGTAAACGGTCCAAACGTATATATACGTTTTTTCAACATTTGATAGTATGTAAAAAAAGTAGATTTTTTTTTTTACATTTGAAAACGTGTAAAAATACTCTGATCTATGTTTATTTTTTTGTTATATTTGAAAATATTTAAAAAACGTAGATCTACTTTTGGAGCACTACGCATGTGAATGTAGATCTGCTTGGACCGTTTATGGGTTAAATAACACTATTCACTCTACTACTGTACTCTCTAACCTATCTTTACATCAATTATTGTATACGTACATGAATGAGGCTCTGCAGCAGTACATCACCTATAAGTTAAAGAACATCCCAACTCAAAAATCTGCTATCAGAATGATCACTCACTCATATTCCAAGATCAAAGAATAGTAAGAATCAGCAAGCACACTGTCGCATCTCACAGGAGGACAAACACTGTCCTACTCAATGCTGTTATGGCCAGAACATGCAAATTCCATCTGGTAATATTAGCATATTTAACAACTTCAAAGTTAGATGGCAATGTGATGCTGAATTGTGTGGTTTTGTCATATGGTCACCAAAAGCATGATTGTTCAGAAACCTGAATTTGACAGAACCAGCTATAAATACATGCATGTATATTCATCGGCTCTATAAATAGATGTTTTGTAGTAGAGCTGATTGATGCTTTCAACAAGTTACTGTTATGGAGGTAGCACTGGAGCAAAGAAAAGTATTCAAAAACAACCTTAAAGTGGAAGAATCAAATGATGAATAAGCTTGCATGCAATAATATAAAAAGCAGTTATCTCATTGACATTCCCAAACTGTCGATCAGTCAAAAATCACTATTTTTCTACTGGAGAATTTCTCCCATTTATATATATAGTATAGTAAAGTTATTAGCAAGACTAACCTAACTTAGATGTAAATTATACTGTTGGATTACTCAGCGTTATATTTTAACAAGTTACAGAACTTGCCACCTGGATAACTCACCGATATTTTGGATTTGAAAAGTTGATGACTTAAGACATCATACTCTATGTATATTTATGGCGAAACATCAAACCTGTAAGGGTCATAAAATAATTGACAAATGGGAGGCAGTCAAGGAAGGGTAGAACAAGTCCAATCCCTTGGATCTGGTGCCCCTCGCAAGTATCAGGAAACTTCCCTTGATGGAAGTACTGTATATAAGAGTGTCAAAATAAGATTTTACAAAGATTATTAACCTGGAGGGTAGGCAACCCAGGATAACCTGGGAAAGCCCATTACTCTCTTATTTTGACTAAGGTCATTGAATCCTCTTCCCTAGGATGCGACCCACAAGTCAGCACACATACGTACAGCACCTACTTAATGCTAAGTCAACAGGGACAACAGCTGTAAGAAAACATGCCCCACATGTCCACTTGACCCATGTTCAAATCCAGATCCTTCAGTTGTAAGCAAATGATGCTACTGCTTGACCCACATTATTATTATAATCAAAAAGGAGCACTAAACCACAAGTGGTGCTTGACCCACAAGTAATAAAAACATTATGTATTCTAAAATTTTATGTGGGAAACAAAACCCTTTAGGGGTCATACAGGTTTTGAAGAAATGGGAGGCGACTAGGTTTGATCCAAGGAATGGGAGCAGTCAGATCCAATGGAACTAAGCCACAGTCTAAAGACAGTGGCTTTGATAAGTTATCCTAATTTACTAGCCCTCTGGGTTAATGATTACACTACAAAGGAAATATACAAGTCACAATGTCTGACTTTACTAGTAATAAAGTTTATTTAGGTAAATGTACAAAGCTCTTGCTTCACACACGGAGGGCCCGGGTTCGATTTCTGGCAGGGTAGATACATTTCAACGCGTTTCTTTACACCCGTTGTCCTGTTCACTTAGCAACAAGTAGGTACCTGGGTGTTAGTCGACTGGTGTAGGTTGCATCCTGGGGGACAAGATTGAGGACCCTAATGGAAATAAGACAGACAGTCCTCAATGATGCACTGCCTTTCTTGGGTTAACCTGGGTGGCTAACGCTTCATAGTTAAAAATCTGAACGAAATCTTATCTTAAAGTCAAAGTGACTTATTTCCAATTGGGGTCCTATAGGGTTATGACAGGTTGATGCTGTGGTCAGAGAAGTGGCAGAAGCAGTTCAACACAGACAATTATATGGTCATAATCATATGAAAAGAAAATAACTGTGGCATATAAGCTAAATAATGCAGATCATAGTCAGACAATGTGAAAAAAAATAAAAATTTAAGATTGCCGGCTATCAGAAAGTTAAGACGACAGTGATTCAGTCTGCAATAAATAAAAAAAAGCGCTGAACCACAAGGGCCATATAGCGCAGTCTGCAATAAAGCTAATAGAATTCTTATGTTCATAACAATAATAGTCTTAAGGTTATAATAAATTTGCTTATTTGTGGTTACTTATAATTTCTTGTTTCAGAGTTCCTCACCTGTGTCAAGGAACCTTCCTCAAGAGAATTTCAACCTGTCATTTTTTTTTTAAAACATCACACCGGAAGTTTATAGTACATACTACAGATAGAATAATCACTGAATATTGTTACTGTATCAGAATTATAAACAACGGTTCAGACAAACTGTAAATAATGCTTGATGGTAGGCACCTCGATGCCGGTGACACATTATTCAGGTTTAATTCATTACAGTTGTCTTAACTTCGTCGTACCTGATTGTCTTCCATTCCCCAGGTTATGTATGGTCTTAATGGCTTTGGTGACTCCCCACGAATATAATTACAATAAAATAAATAACTCCCACTCTCTTGTCGTCGATGGGGTTATTCAGGGTCACCAAACTGACGTTTTTTGATGAAAATGGTATAAAATAACAAGTTGATGGTTAAGACATACGTGCAACAGTTGGGTATCTTTATTGTTGAAATGTTTCGCCTCAAATACAGAGGCAGCAGGTGTAATAGTGTAATGAAGATGATGTAATTAGTCCATCAATGTCTGCACTTCGCCGAGGCCGGTGTTACAAATTGATAGATTATAAGAGGCCGGTGGCTTCTTATAATCTCAGCTATAATTGACTCTAGTAATTTGCCTACAATTGAGGTCAGGCTTATTGGGCGGTAATTTGACAGTAACGATTTGCCAATATTAATTAATGGTTCACAGAGTTCCATTTTGCATTCCTTAGAACCCTTGAAAAAACTTCATCAGGACCCGGCGACTTATTTTGCTTCAGTCTGTCTATCTGCTTCACAACCATTTCACTAGTGACTGTGATGTTACATAATTTATCTTCTTCTAGCCCACTATAAAAATTAATTACTGGAATAGTGTTAGTGTCTTCCTGTGTAAAAACCGAGAGAAAATAATTATTTAAAATCGAGCACATTTCATTCTCTTTGTCAGTAAGATGCCCAGTTATTTTTAAGGGGACCTATCTTATCTCTAACTTTTGTTCTATATACCTGGAAAAAACTTTTTGGGTTAGTTTTAGAATCCCTAGCAACTTTAATTTCATAGTCCCTTTTAGCTTTTCTTATCCCCTTTTTAATGTCCCTCTTAATATCAATATACTGATTCATAAGATGACCCTCACCTCTTTTGATACGCCTATAAATTCCTTTCTTATGCCCTAGTAGATATTTCAGCATATTATTCATCCATTATGGGTCATTTCTATTTGATCTAATTTCTTTATACGGGATAAACGTTCTTTGAGCAGCATATATAGTGTTCAGAAAACTGTCATATTGACAGACCGTCACCTCTTTTGATACGCCTATAAATTCCTTTCTTCTGACCTAAAAGATATTTGAGCCTATTATTAATCCATTTGGGGTCATTTCTATTCGATCTAATTTCCTTATATGGGATAAATGTCCTTTGGGCAGCAAGTATTGATCAGATTTGATTCTCCTCATTAACTTCACATCATCTGCAAACAAGGACACTTCTGAGTCTATCCCTTCCGTTATGTCATTCACATATACCAAAAACAGCACAGGTCCTAGGACTGACCCCTGTGGAACACCGCTTGTCACAGGCGCCCACTTTGACACCTCGTCACGTACCATGACTCGTTGTTGCCTCCCTGTCAGATATTCTCTGATCCATTGCAGTGCCTTTCCTGTTATGTGTGCCTGATCCTCTAGCTTTTGCAGTAACCTCTTGTGAGGAACTGTGTCGAAGGCCTTCTTGCAATCCAAGAAAATGCGGTCTATCCACCCCTCTCTCTCTTGTCTTACTTCTGTCACCTTGTCATAAAACTCCAGTAGGTTTGTGACACAGGATTTTCCTTCTCTGAAACCGTGCTGGTTGTCGATTATACACTTGTTTCTTTCCAGGTGCTCCACCACTCTCCTCCTGATGATCTTCTTGACTTTACATACTATACACGTTAGTGACACAGGTCTGTAGTTTAATGCCTCATGTCTGTCCCCTTTTTTAAAACTTGGGACTACATTTGCCATCTTCCATACCTCAGGGAGTTGCCCAGTTGCAATGGATGTGTTGAAGATCTTTGTTAGTGGCACACACAGCATCTCTGCTCCCTCTCTAAGGACCCACAGAGAGATGTCTGGTCCCACCGCCTTTGAGGTGTCAAGTTCACATAGCAGCTTCTTCGCCTCCCTTTGGTTATGTGTACCTCATCCAGAACTTGTTGGTGTACCTCCCTGTTCTGATTTCCTGGAGTCCTACTGGTTTCCACTGTAAATACTTCTTCAAATCTCGTGTTGAGCTCCTCACATACCTCTTGGTCGTTTCTTGTGAGCTCCCCATCATCCTTCCTCAGTCTGCTTACCTGGTGCTTGACTGTTGTTTTCCTCCTGATGTGGCTATACAACAGATTCGGGTCAGACTTGACTTTCGATGCTATGTCATTTTCATATTGTCGTTGAGCCTCCCTTCTTATCTGTGCATATTCGTTTCTGGCTCTCTGGCTAATCTCTTTATTTTCCTGAGTCCTTTGTCTTCTGTACCTTTTCCATTCTTTAGTACACTAGTTTTTGCCTCCCTACACCTTTGGGTGAACCAAGGACTCGTTCTGGTCTTCCCATTATTTCTGTTTCCCTTGGGAACAAACCTCTCCTCTGCCTCCTTGCATTTTGTTGTCACGTAGTCCATCATTTCTTGTACTAGTTTTCCTGTCAGTTCTCTCTCCCACTGAACGTCTTGCAGGAAGCTCTTTATGCCTGAGTAGTTCCCCCTTTTGTAGTTTGGTTTCTCCCATACTATTCCTGCTACTCTCTTCACTTGCAGCTCAACTATGTAGTCAAAGCACAGAACCACATGATCACTAGCTCCAAGGGGCCTTTCATACATGATATCCTCGATGTCCGAACTACTCAAGGTGAATGCAAGGTCCAGTCTTGCTGGATCATCCTCACCTCTTTCTCTGGTAGTGTCTCTAACATGTTGATGCATGAGGTTTTCCAGCACCACATCCATCATCTTGGCTCTCCATGTTTTGGGACCCCCATGGGGCTCCAGGTTTTCCCAGTCAATCTCCTTGTGACTGAAATCACCCATAACTAGTAACTTTGCTCCCCCCATGTGAGCTCTTCTGGCCACCTCGGCTAGTGTGTTGACCATTGCTCTGTTGCTCTCGTTATATTCTTCTCTTGGCCTCCTGCAGTTCTGTGGTGGGTTGTACATTACTGTAATTACCACCTTATGGCCCTCAGACTGGATTGTTCCTACTAAGTAGTCCCTTTCACCCATGCCATTCATTCCTTCCATTTTCTCAAATCCCCACTAGTTTTTAATGAGCAGTGCAACTCCTCCCCCTCCTCCTCTCCTCCCTCTGTCTTTCCTAAGGATTTGATATCCAGGTGGAAATACTGCATCTGTTTTCCTGGTGAGTTTTGTTTCTGTGAGTGCTATTATGTCTGGGGATGTCTCCTTGATTCTTTCATGCTACTCCTCACACTTATTTGTTATTCCACCTGCATTTGTATACCACACCTTCAACTTCTTTTCTAAAACTGTGGTCTGGGGGGTACATTGGGGTTGGGGAAGTGGGAGACCTGATAAGGAACTATGGATGGTTGCTATGGGGGTGGAGTTTGTAATGAGGTGGGTGGGGGCATTGGATATGGCATGTGTGTTTTGGGTTAGAATGTTTGGTTGCACTGGGGTTGTCCTGGTTGGGGGGCTTCTGTAGGTAGTTGCGAGGGAGGCTGTATTTGATCTTCCTCCTGAGTCTGGGTTCTCCTGTCCATCTCCATCTTTTCTCTTTCCTCCTTTCACCTATAAGATTGGTTATAAATAACCATAATTTTTAAAGGGGTGGACCGGTAAGCCAGCAGAAGGCCTCGGTCAGATGACCAAAAGCTCCAAAGGCGGGTCATCATCTGACTAAGACCCGCGTCAGGAAACATTTGTCCTGTTTCCTGACGAACCTTACCTAACCTAACCTCCTTTCACCTTTGTACCATCTCTCTCAGTTTCTGCCTTTCTTCATGTGTTCTGTTGTGGTCGAGATACACCTTCCGGTATGCTGGCATGTCCCTAAGTCTTGCTTTCTCCTGCAGGATCCTGTTCCAAGTCGATTCTGCCTTGAAAGTCACTTTCACTGGTCGGGTTCTTCTTCTTGCTAACCCCCTATTCTCCGAAAATTTGCCAGCTGGGTCATGTCATCTTCTCCTATTGCTTTTATGATGCTTTTGATTGCATTTTTTCCCCTTCTTTTCTTGCTTTGTAAGTTTCCCCTTCAACTTCCTAGAGCCCATAAACAAAGATTGACCTCTCCCTTTCGTTCTCCCACAGCATATCCTTATGTATCCATTAATTCAATTTAATTTCCTCCATTGCTGCTTTCCTTTCTTCAGTTTCACTATCTATTGTACTTGAACATAAGAACGAAGGAACACTGCAGAAGGCCTACTGGCCCATGCGAGGCAGGTCCAAGTCTCCTACCGGCTTAAGCCAATGCACCCAACCTAGTCAGGTCAGGTCACATTGACTTAAGGGAGGAACACGGCAACCGACCTGGTAGCACAAGCTATCAGGTCTAACTCACACCCACCCACATCCACTCATGTATTTATCCAACCTATTTTTAAAGCTACACAACGTTCTGGCCTCTATAACTGTACTTGGGAGTTTGTTCCACTCATCCACAACTCTATTACCAAACCAGTACTTTCCTATATCCTTCCTGAATCTGAATTTTTCCAACTTAAAACCATTGCTGCGAGTCCTGTCTAGGCTAGATATTTTCAGCACACTATTTACATCCCCTTTATTTATTCCTGTCTTCCATTTATACACCTCAATCATATCCCCCCTAATTCTACGTCTTTCTAGAGAGTGCAGATTCAGGGCCCTTAGTCTATCCTCATAGGGAAGGTTTCTGATACATGGGATCAACTTTGTCATCCTCCTTTGTACATTTTCCAGAGAATTTATATCCATTCTGTAATAAGGTGACCAAAACTGTGCAGCATAATCTAAATGAGGCCTAACCAAGGATGTATAGAGTTGAAGAACAACCTGAGGACTCCTATTATTTATGCTTCTTGATATGAAGCCAAGGATTCTATTAGCTTTATTGCGAACACTTATGCACTGTTGTCTTGGTTTCAGATCACTGCTAACCAGAACTCCTAAATCTTTTCGCAATCCGTAATATTAAGATCTACATTATTTAGTTTATATGTGGCATGGTTATTGTCCTGTCCAACATTTAGAACTTTGCATTTGTCTATATTAAACTGCATCTGCCACTTCTCCGACCACTGCATCAGTCTATTCAAATCTTCCTGGAGTGCTCGAATGTCCTCGTCAGAATGAATTCGACGGCCTATTTTGGTGTCATCGGCAAACTTGCCGATGTCGCTCTTTATGCCCTCA